CTGTATATACACCGCAGCAGCTGCATATACACCTCACTATATATATATATATATATATATATATATATATGTATATATATATCAGCAGCTGCATATACACTGCAGGGGGTGTATGTACACCCCAACAGCTAACGCGCAGAGCCACGCAGAGGAGACAGCTGTATTCAAGCCAAACCCTAAACCCTAAACCCTAAACCCTAGACCCTAAATATCTTGAGATGGATTCAGCTCCTTTCGTGGGCCCTAAAATACATACTGATCTTAGGGTTTAGGGTTTAGGGTTTAGAGGGAAAGAAGAAGCTGTCGTTGATATTTAGGGTTTATGGTTTAGGGCTTAGGGTTTAGGGTTTGGGGTTTAGGGTTTGGGGTGTATATGCAGTTTGTGACGCACGTGACATTCTCTCTCTAGCTGTGCATTTCTTGCTGCTAGCTCTGCTGCTGCTGCTTGCTGCTGCTTCAGCTGTCTCTCCAGCTCAGCAGCAGCAGCAGCAGCAGCAGCAGCAGCAGCAGCAGAAGGAGAAGCCCTTGCTGCTGCTGCCTCAAGGTCCCTCATTATCACCATCAAGTCTGAAACAAACCACAAACCCTAAACCCTAAACCCTAAACCCTAAATTTTAACATATACACCCGAAAGAACTCTAGGGTTTAGGGTTTAGGGTTTAGGGATTATATATTTGTTGTGATAGACGCTAAAGGTAACCCCAAACCCTTGATCTTCATAGAGATGCCCATGATGAGTCTTTTAGGGTTTAGGGTTTAGGGTTTAGGGTTTAGGGTTTAGGGTTTACCTGGTTGCTGCAGCAGCAGCTGCAGCAAAGCCATGAAGTTTGCTTCTGCTGTTTTAGCTCTCTTTGTGAGGCAATCTATTTCTTGCTGGTATTCTCTCAGCAGCTGCTCCGAAGCTTTCTTCAGTCCCTCTAAACTTATACACTCCTGCTGCTGCTGCTGCTGCTGCTGCTGCTGCTGCTGCTGTTGCTGCTGCTGTTGCTGCTGTTGCTGGAGGGCGGGGTGGGGGTCCTGCTGCTGCTGGTGATGGTGCTCGTCATAGTTGTGGTGGGGCTGCTGCTGCTGCTGCTCGTGCTGCTGCTGCTCCTGCTGCTGTTCCTCCTGCTCCTGCTGCTGCTGCTGCTGCTGCTGCTGCTGCGGTGAGAGCTGCTGAGAGGTTGCTGCGGTGTCTGTGCAGCTCAAGGGGACAGCAGCAGGGCCCGTAGGAGACAAAACAAAACTCCATAGGCGGCGATGATCTAAGGAAAAGAAAAAAAAAAGAACTAAAAAAAAATAAAAGAAAAATAAAAAAAATAAAAAGAAACACAAATGAAGATTAAGATAGAGAGATAGAGATAGAAATATAAAGAGATAGAGATTAAAAAAAAAGATAGAGAGAAAGAAAGAGAAATAATATACATATAGAGAGTTATATATATATATATATATATATATATATATATATATGTTTATGTATATATGTATATATGCATATATAGATAATGTGTGTCTGTATAGTTTTAGCAGAAGAAAGCGAAACACCGAATAAATAAAATACTAAAGTGGGTGTATATATAGATAGAAAAAAAGAGAGAGAGAGAAACAAACCTTTTGTATTTGTTGCTAGTTTCTTTCTAGCATTGACTGCTTCTCTTTTTGCTTTATCTATTTCTTCACAGAAAGACGCAAAAGAACGAACTTGCTGCCAGCATACAACCCTGAAGAAGAAACAGCAGCAGCAGCAGCAGCAACAGCAGCAGCAGCAGCAGCAGCAGCAGCAGCACGGATGCATGTTTTCGTTCGGGTGTATATGCAGGCAATTGTAAAGAGATTCATAAAACACAATTATATAAAGAAATAATTAAAAACATTTTCGTGGCGGTTTCGGGGTGAGGTGGAAAGCAGTATGAACATAAAGAAATACAGAAAACAGGAAAATGCATTTTAATTATTTCTTTATGCAAGAATGCATGCACTAAAACATAAAAATAAATAAATAATTTCAATTAAATTAATTAACCATGATGAATTTGACGAAATTAAAATAAAAAAGACCCCATTCATGTTCTCCGTGCATATGTGCAACTTGAATCGCCGAGCTGCCTATACACCCCAAGTATGCTTCGGGTGTATAGGCAGCTCGTATAGAGCTGCCTATACACCTGAAATAGTATAAGAAAATACAGAAAAAGCTAGGAGCTGCCTATACACCTCAACTAGTATTGAAGTATAAAGACATATCTAGGAATTATGCATGCATTTAAAGGGGTATTTTTGTGTATGTTCACCCCAATGAGCTGCCTATACACCCCAAGCTGAATTCAGGTGTATAGGCAGCTCGATGAGCTGCCTATACACCCGAAGGAATGCTGGGGTGTATAGGCAGCTCAAGAAGAAAGCAGAATGAATGACTCACCAAGAAGAAACAGCTTCTGCTGTGCTTGTAGAGCCACCAAGAATATCCATTTTGTCTCCAAATATAATTAGAATAATTTAATTAAACTTTTTTGTCTTTTTTTTTATTTTTATGGTATTCTGAACGGAAAAACAACCGAGTTGCAGGTGTACATACACCTCAGAATAAAGACATCGTCAAGAGCGACATTCCCGCCGTTTTCTTCCGTTTAAAAAAAGGAAGACCAAAAGAAATAGCCAGATATAAAAAATAAATAAACTAAAATACAAAAACAAACAATAAACACACACTTTTGTATTTATTTTCTTCTTTCTTCTTGACCAAGTTGTGTAGCTCCGAAGCCACCGGGGGGCCCCCAGTGCTCATCCAGCCTTAGAGGGCCCCCCCCATCGCCTCTCTCGTGTTGTTTATGGTATTATAATTGTTTATTTTCTCAGAAAAGAAGATTAAAATGTATTTTTTAAATATACAACACGAAAAAACAGATAAATTTTGATTTATTTTGGCTGTTTTCTCTCTCTTCTTTCCCTCTCTTTGCCTCACCGCCGCGGTGCTGTGACCTCGCACAGCTAGCAGCAGGCACCGGTAGATCTCTGGTTGGTTTGTATAAGAATAAAAAACACATATATGAATAAAAAAACAAAATAAATTCATTTATTTTATTTATTTTATGTTCAATACACTGAAACTTCTTCGTTTTCTTCTCTCCCTCCGCGTGCAGCAGCAGAACACCACCGCCGTTTCTTAGTGTTATATATACATCTATATGTATATATGAGACAGCCAACAGAAAGGCTGCAGCGAGGAGGCCCCCAGCCCCCTATCAACTCTTATGCACACATGGTGCATGCAAAGGGGTAAACACATATACAAGAAGAAGTAGCAGCTGCTACAGCTGCGCCTGCTGCTGCTGCTGCTGCTGCTGCAGCGGGAGAGCAAGCCAAGGCTGAGCACACATACAGGAAGGCTCAGCTGCAGCAGGCCAACTGGAATAACTATCAACTGCAGCAGTTGCAGCAGCAGCAGCAGTTGCAGCAGCAGCAGCAGCAGCAGCCGTACCGGCGCAGCAGCAGCGGCTCATCGAGGAATCCCCGCTCAGCCGTACCGGCAGCAGCAGCAGGATCCGCGGCCGCAGCAGCTGCAGCAGCATACTCAACAGCAACTGCAGCAGCAGCAGCAGCAGCAGCAGCAGCAACATAAACAAGGAGGAGGTTTATATTTTATTGTCTAATGATATAAGATGGCCCCTTCTCCCCCTTCTTCTGCTGCTAGCAGCAGATCTGCTGCTTCTTTCTTAACTACCGACCGCGACCACCTGCAGCAGCAGCAGCAGCAGCAGCAGCAGCAGCAGGAGCAGCAGCAGCAGCAGTATCGTCAGTGTGATGCTGCTGCATGCGTATCTATGCTTTTAAAGTGTGAACGTGTATTGATAGTACCTGGATTTGGTTTTGCTGCTTCCCGCTGCAGCACAGAATTAGGAGAATTGCTGCTGCTGCTGCAGCAGCATGGTGTTGCTGCTGCTGTTGCAGTAAGCCCCATAGCTGGGTATTTCCCCGGCCATATATCTTTATACTTAGATAAAATAAATAGTTTTTTTATTCTCTCGGGAGAAGAAGCACAGGAGAATTTGTTTACTTTCTCTGCGTGTCTTTGTATAGGAGCCAATGATATAATAAACCCTATAATAAAAAAAACAGAAAAAATAATAAAGGGGGGGGTTATAGATGTATGGAGACTGCCCCTTGTTATATCTCTTATAAGGTCTAGGGGCCCCCGGGGGCCCCCAGGTAATAAACACAACAACCCCACCTTTTTAGGTTTAAATTCTTGGGTTTTATCGGGGGATGCTAAGAGATCCTTGCAGTGTATAAACGCATGCATGCAGCAGCAGCAGCAGCAGCAGCAGCAGCAGCAGCAGCAGGAGAGGAGACAAAACAACAACATAAATAATATAAATTTATTTCTTTCTTCTGCTGCTCTTATACACAAAGACAAAGATATTATATATAACCCTAGACGGTGGCCTAGGCCTGTTGCTGTTGTGGGGTTTATACGGGATCGTCTCCAGCTGGGAGCTGGGATCGTCTCTATCGATCCCCGGGGTGTGGGGTGTTTAAGGGGTTTAGGTTTTTGTGTAGCTATAGAAAAAGAGACAGAAAAAGAAAGAGAAAAAAAAGGAGACAATGATAAATATAGTTTTTATACACAACAACAACAACAACAACCACAAATACCCTACACAGAAGATGAATTTGTTATGGCCGGGGCAGAGATACATACACTTGAACATATACTGATGCATGCAGACCTCATCGTACACCCCAGCGTCCCCCCAGTAGAGTATTTTATTTCTCCTTCTCCTCCCCGCCCCCAAACAAAAACAGCAACCACAAACACCACCAGCAGCAGCAACAGCAGCAGCAGCAGCAGCAGCAGCAGCAGCAGCAGCAGCAGCAAAGGAGCAGGAGAGAGAAAGGGGCGTATATTAATATGTAATATACCCCCAGGTGAGGCTGGGAGTTTATTGAGTGTATTGAGAGAAGGTGGTTGGTCTGTATTTTCTTTTTCTGTGTCATCTGTCTCCTTTGTTTCTTTGTCTCCTTCTCTACATCTTCGTGGTGTTGCTGCTGCAGCAGAGATAGAAGCATTAAGGGGACAGAGAGCGTTGCTGCTGTCTCTTTATAATCTCCCTCGTCTTGTTAAGGGACTCACAACAGCAGCAGGAAGAATACACCCTGCTGCTGTTCTAGTTTTAGGGGGAGGTGCTGCGGGTCTGCATGCAGCAGCAGCAGCATGCAGGTGTGGGGCCAAAGTATATGTTATAGATCCTAGGCAATCTATCCAGTCTGTAGTTGAGTCTATTGGTGCTTCTTTTCTCTCTTTTCTCTCTCCTCTCTCTTCATGGGGAGAAATACAAAAAAACAATAAAATTAAACATTTATTACGCATGCATGTAATACACAGCGACATCGTTATCTGTGCCCCAGAAAATACACTGGGGGCCCCCTGGTGGGCCCCCTCGACAGAGGGGGGCCCCCCATATGAGGGTTTAGAAGGGGGCCCCCCGGCCCCCACACAGGAGGGGGGCCCCCAGGGGGGCCCCCATACAGCCGGGGGGGCCCCCNGGGGGGCCCCCACCTCTTATACCTGAAGAGTGGTTAAGCAGCATGAAGCCTGGGGCTGTTGTGATAGACCTAAGGGCGAGACACCCGGCAACACAAGCGAACTGGTTTGGGTGTATAGAGAGGGGCCCCCAAGAGGGTACTGGTGGTGGTGTAGGTGTAGGGGGGGGCCCCCCAGACACCCCACAGAGTGTTGCGGGGGGGGGTGTTACTATACTGGATGGGAGCTGGCTGGAGCAGACGATCCCCAGGGAGACGATGCGTGTACTTTCTAGCAGTGTATGCAACCTGCTGCAGCAGATGAGGGTTGGGGGGCCCCCCTATATCTCTATTCCTACCGACCCTGTGCTGCGGGCCCTACTGCTGCTGGAGCGGGGGGCCCCCCCAACACCCAGAAGCTGGGGGGCCTTTAGGGGACGCAGGACCTTCTCTCAGCTGCAGCTATTCAGCAGCAGATTCAACTCCTTTGCTGCTGCTGCTGCTCCTGCTCCTGCTGCTGCTGCACCTGCTGCTGCTGCTGCTGCTGCTGCTGNCTGCTGCTGCTGCTGCTGCTGCTGCTGATAGCAGCAGCAGCAATGGCGGCAGCAGCAAAACTGATGCTGCTGCTGCAGCAAACAATAGCAGCAGCAACTATCAACAGGGATAGAATATAATGCAGCAGCAACAACAGCAGCAGCAGCAGCAGGTTGCAGCAGCAACATACAGCAACAAATAAAACAAAGAAAACATAACAGCAGCAGCAAAAGAAGCAGCAGCAGCAGCAGCAGCAGCAGCAGCAAACTGCAACAGGTAAAAGACATATACAGCAAATTCAAACAACAATATATACAGCTAAGGGGGCCCCACTGCAACACCTTACACACAAGGGGCCCCCAGGGGCCCCCTTGGGGGCCCCTTTGGGGGCCCCCCTGGGGACCCTTGTAGAGCCCCTTGGGGGCCCCCTTGGGGGCCCCTTGTATGGCCTGTATAAGGCCCCCTGGTGCCCCCCTGTAGGGGGCCCCTTGGCGGCCCCCCTGGGGGCCCCCTGTCGTTCCCCTTTGGGGGCCCCTTGGGGCCTCGTAGTTGCGGTGGTCCCTTTGGGGGTTCTTGGGGGGTTCCCTGGGGGCCCCCTTGGGGGCCCCCAAGTTACACACATAGCAACACGGGGGCATCCCACGAAATCCCGGGGTGCTGCTGCTGCTGCTGGTGCTGCTGCAGCTGCGGCTGTTGCTCCTGCAGCTGCGGCCGTTGCTGCTGCAGCAGCTGCAGCAGTTGCTGCTGCAGCAGGTGCAGCAGCAACTGCAGCAGCTTGTACTGTAAAGAGTTTAGTGAGCAACGTTTTATAATTTTAATATTTTTATGTTTGAGGGAACAAAAATAAATTAATTATTTCATTTATTTTCTTATTTGGTTGGGGTGTACATACACCACAATAATTTTATATATATATATATATA